CTAAATAGTTGAACAAGTGATAACCTGTTAGAAAAGCCTGAAAGATACAATAAATAGAGCGGAGTTCTTAGTTGTGACTGACGATTTTTAACAAAGCTCAGATTGCAATATTTGATGAGGAAAACAATAACAGAAGAGCAAAACTTCATTTACTTACTAAAAATGAACTTCGTACAAAACTATGCCCTCAAAACCAAGAAACAAGAACAAATTAAATTGTTACAGAGCTCCAAAACTGCAACAAGTTTCGTTGAAAATGTGATTTCTTCGCTGAATAACCGAAACGACCACAAAATGACTAATTAAACAATAGTTAACAAAGTGACCAATATAAAAACAAGCTTTATCGACTTTTAAAGCTACTAGACTCCTAAACTAAACTAAAAAAACACGCACTTGTTTTCCAATCTTATTTCGTCGTCCACATCGCTTTCTTCTTCGCTAGAATGCTGATGCTGTTTCTGATTCTCAATATTCCTGAACTCACCACTACTTTCCAAATAACGTCGAAGGTGTTTGCTAGACATTTTTTTGAATGAGGTGCCTTATTATGTCCTGGAATCAACAGCTTTTTCAAGAGAGAATGACAGCATAAGATAAGAAACATCACGCAATGGAACACGACTAAGCCGCTAAAAAAAAATAAAATACAGAGGCATTCAAAACACCAACCACCTCAATTAGTAAAAACAAAAAATATTTGAATTACCAATCATTTGGATAAATTAATAAGTTTATCTAACGCACAATGCGACACAGAAGTTGCATCTAAAACAGCTAAAGAACTAACGGTACTACAATTTTAATTTTGTTTATTCACTGCAGCATACTGAGATAGAAAAGGAGAAAATCATTGTCAATTTGATGACTATTACAACAATTTCATCATGAAAAATCCTTAGTCTTGAACGTTTTAAGGAAATATTTAATTACGAGACGGCACAAGAAAAAATATCGGCAATCGAAAAATTAATTACAATTTCATTAAAACACTTATTGACTGTAAAGAAGAAAGACATAAAGGAGTAACTATAATACTGTATTAAAAATTTTTAAATTATATTCAGAGTTAAATCCTTTTTTAAATGTCGGGACGGTACGGCTTTAACGGATCTTTTGGCCACCACTGCGGCATAAATACAGTTATAGTTCTATTGCTGCAATTCAACTTGGATGGAAACTTTAAGGATGTTACTCTGACCACGGCAAGACCTTTATTTCCTTGACAAGTGAGAATCGTACCAATTCTCTCTCCACTGCTATTTGAAATATTTCCAGAAACAAATCCTGGAGGAAAAGGTATAAAGCCCTCAATAAGTGATTATTACAAAAACCACCAAACTAATTAAGCCAAGAAAAGTACTTCGCTCTCGTTAAAACCAAATAATCATTTACACAAAAAAAAGTTAAACTGACAATTTCTAATTCTTCGTTACAAAAAAAAATTTACCATCTGAAGTAAAAGGTAATGTTCTCTGCCGAACTTTAGCAGCACTCAATGCAACAGCAGATGTTTCTTGCCCAACATAACAACCTTTGTCGCTCCTGAAGTAGTAACAAAATTAGAAAACTACACACTGGTTGTTTACACTGGTGTGACAAAACTCTAGCATTACTCACCATTTTATAATAAAAAGTTAGTTTCGATACCTATTTAAAAATAATGACAGATATTCGATTGATAAACACGCAATTAAAATATTCCAAAAAAATTGTAAAACTGCAATGGCAAAATATGAATATAATTCGGATGAAAATGGAACACCTTATCCCATTCATCAAGTCAACATTACGGTGCAGTGGCAATGCATCACCCATTTCTGCAACGCCTTCAGGAATACCAAAGGTATAGCGCAGCGAACGATAATATGATAAATCTTCGATATTCCCATCTAGAATCCAAGATAACTAACAGTCTGTCCATTTAATTAAACCCGTAAAATAAAAAACTCAATTGATTGTTAGTGTCCTTCCCTGTGTAGCTTATGACCAAATTAAAAAGATTTTGAAACAGTAAAGAACCATCAAAACGCAACAGGACACTAACATTTGCTTATGCATACCTAGTAATGTTATCTCAGTAGCAGAAATAGATATGTCATGAAAACTAAAAGCCAATAGGTTATCAGCTTTAAGCTCAGAGGACGAAATGTAAAATTTAATCTATTCCTGATTCTGAGCATACAAGCAAGAAACTGTCTAACAAAAGAAGAAGACTTACTGCTATTTCTTTACGACATAAAGAAATAAGTTCGGTAGATTTTGACTATTCACTTTTAAAAAAGCTAACGCTTTCAACTACCATTAAACTTTCCTATAAAATAAATGTTTTAATGCTAAGGTAGCTATGTTTGGTTAACTTCCTTACCAGGTACTTTTAAGCAATATACTCGACTGCCAAATGATGGCACACGCGGATCTGACATCCCACCACCACCGTGATTCGAATCAACGAAATAGACATTGCATTCGCTGGGTTCGATAGAAACTGCCTTGTGCATTACATACCGTTTCAATAACTTGCAAAAATTATCTTTCCCAACCTGGTCACATTCTAACATCACCTGGTCAGCCCTTTTTAATAAAAAAAGATCCTCAACAATACGACCCCTCGAATTTAACAGCACTGTGTAGCTCAGTTTATTATCAATCAATTCACTGAAAAAAAAAAAAAAAAAA